GAGAGAGAGATAGATAGATGATAGATAGATAGATAGATAGATAGATAGATAGATAGATAGATAGAGAAGAGCAACATATCAATTGGTAGCCTCCCCCTCACTCCCTGAACTGGGGTGGGAATCAAACCTGCAATCCAGGTATGTGCCCTTGACCCAGAATCAAACATGCGGCCATCCAGGGTGCACAGGCCAACGCTCTAACCACTGAGCCACTGGCCAGGGCAATAATGGCTTTTAATGCACAAAATTTTTTTAAATTTTCATGAAGTCATATTTGTCTATTTTTTTCTTTTGCTACATGGGCCTTTGGTGTCATAACCCCCAAAATTTTTGCCAAATCTATTTTCATGAAGCTTTTGTCCTGTTTTCTTCTAAGAGTTTTATTGTTTTGTGTCTTACATTTAGGTATTTGATCCATTTTGAGTTAATTTTTGTATGTGGTTTTAGGGAAGGGTCCAACTTCAGTCTTTTGCATGTGGATATCCACTTTTCCCAGCATCATTTGTTGAAAACACACTGTCCTTTCCCCCATTGAATGATCTTGACACCCTTGTCAGAAATCATTTGGCATTGTCTTTGAGGGTTTATTTTTGGACTCTGTTCCCTGTCTGCCAGTGCCGCACTGTTATTACTGTAGTTCTGTAGAAAGTTTTAAAATGAAGTATGAGTCCTCTTCTTTTGTTCTTTTTCAGTATTATTTTGGCTATTCATGGTCTCTTGAGATTTAGTACAAATTTTAGGATAAAGTTTTCTATTTCTGCACACACAAAAAGTCTTTGGGATTTTGATGGGGATGGCAGATCACTTTAGGTAGTTTAATAATATTAAGTCTTCTAATCCGTGCACGTGGAATGTGTGTTTTTATCATCAAGTGTGTCGGATTTTGTCGTCTGCTTTTTCTGCATCGATTGGGCATGATGATGCGGTTACTGTCTTCACACATTGATGTGACTTCAGTAACATACGAAGCCTCTGCTCCCTCACAGCTCCGACCTCTGTGGTTGTTGACGCCACACAATTGCATTTTTATACATTTATGCCCCAAAACATAAACTAATAATTGAAAGTGCACTAACTGGATTAGTCTCTTACATCATGTAGAAAACAAAAAACTAGTTACAGACTGCTGTTACAGTAATACTTGCTTCTATAATTGCCCGTGTATTTGCCTTTGTTAAGATCTTTATTTCTCCATGCGGTGTTGATAGACTTCTAGTGTCCTTTTATTTCACCGGGCGGGATTCCCTTGAGCATTGCTTGCTGGGTAGGTCTAGTGATCACAAACTCCCTCAGCTTTTGTTTATTTGGAAATATCTTAATCTCTCCCTCACACTTAAAGGACAGTTTTTGCCAGATAAAGGATTCTTGGTAGATTGGGGGTGGGGGGTGGGGGTGGGGGAGGGAATTGCACTTTGAATATATTGATGGACTGTTTGCTGGCCTCCGAAGTTTCTGATGAAAGAGCTGCAGAAAATCTTACCAAGGACCACTTATGACAATTCACTTCTGTCAGGATTCTCTCTTTTTTGGCTTTTTCAAGTTGGATTATATGTCTTAGTGTGGATCTTTTTTAATTCATCTTATTTGGAGTCTTTGAGCTTCTTGGATGTTTTTATAGTCATTCATGTAAGGTTTTCTATCTCTTTTATTAATGTACTTAGTTCACACACTGTTTTTGTTTGTTTGTTTTTTACTTTCCCCACATCTTTTGTTATTTCTTTGAGCATCTTTAAGGCAGTTCTTTTAAAGTCTTTGTCTAGTGTATCTGCCATTAGGTCTTTTTTAGGGACAGTTTCTGTCGATTTCTTTGAATAGGCCATAGCCATGCATTCCTGTTTTTTTTTTGAATGCCTGTGAGTGTTTGCTGAACACTGGACATTTGAATGTCTCTAATAATGAGGTAACTCTGGAAACCAGGGTTTGCTTTTTGTGGTTGTTGTTGCAGGTTGTCTCTGTGCCTAGGATCAGCCTGAGGTGTAAACTTAAGATCTTCTCAGGTCTTTCCTGAGCCCTTCCCTTGGTATGCAAAGTCACTTTCTAATTTCCTCCGTGTATGTAGTTGTTCTTGAAGGTCATAGTCTTTAATGTCTGGCTCCCAAAAGTGGAGAAAGCAAAAAATGAAGGGGGTAGGGAATAGTCACTGTTTTAGAGGGAGCAACAACAATAGTGGCCTGCCTCTTTATCCACCCCTGTGGCCAGGAGCAGCAGCCAGAGACGAGGTTCCCCAATAGTGAAGGACAGGGTTCTTTTTGCTCACCCTGGCTCCCAGGTTGTGTGCAAGCTGCTACTGTGCTAAGAACGGAAATTGACCAAGTCTTCCCCTAGAAGTTGCAACCCCTGAACAGACTAGAGTTTCAAAATAGTTAATCAGTTTCTGCCAGTGCGGTTGGTGTCTAGGTGAGGAGACAGCTACCTACTCTGCCATCTTCCCATAATCCCAAAATTTGTATTTCTAACAAATTCCCAGGTGGTGCTGATGCTGCTGGTCCAAGGACCATCCTTTGAGAATGACTGAACTAAACTCTCAGGTTCTGTCTTTAGGCTCTGATATACCATGCAGGGTCTTTCTTCTCTGGGTGCAGTGTAGTAAGTTAATTATACTTTTTAATTGCAATAAGCAACAAGCTTTTTATTGATGTAAATGAGATTCCTTTCTTTATGAAAAAGATGGGACCCGTGGTCTGTGGGCTATTCCAGGTTAGGGAGCTTTGGACGCCCTGCAGGGGACTGAGGGGCATGTGCGGAGGTGGGAAGGAAATGACATTGTTCAGATAAGAGCTCGATCACCTCCCTTTCCTGTCTGTAGCCTCAGGTGATGACAAGATCTGCTCTCCAGGCTGCTTTTAGTAGGTGGTCTGTGTGGGAACATCTAGTGTGTGTGTCTGGCACATGGTCATCTTAGGTCACATTTCCTGAGCACTTTGACTGCAAGTTGCAAAATTAAATTAAAAGGTAATTTTTTTTAAATGCCTTTTCCCTAACAAGTCTGGAGATGGGGTGGTCCTGGGGTTGGTTCATTTAGTGTCAAAGAATCCAGGTTCCCTCCATCTTGTCACGCTGCCCTCAATGGGTTGAGCTTTGTATTTAGAGCTGTCCCCTCAGGAGGAAACTTTCCCACGAGCTCCTTTCCCTGCAGACTTGCCTACCGGAAATGCTTGCCACACCCATTCCTACATGGCCACCGCTATTTGAGAGTCACCGCTAGGGTGGGCAGGGCCTGGAGCACAAGTCCTCTTCGGGCTCCGTCGGTCAGAAGGGGTAGGGCAGGACTGGCAGTGGGCAGGCCACCAACAAATCAGCCACACTCCCTCCCCCGGTTGACGGTGGGTCCTTTTGTTCTGAAGGGGCCCCTGACACCGCCAAAAGGAGATGAAGTCTAGGGCTGTCCAAAGTGCTGCCAGCTGTCCTTGGTTTACTCCAGGCCAAGTCGTCTTCTATTTCTTAGCAAGGGCGAGAGGCCATGTGCACCCAGAAGGATGTTTGCTTCCGAGAGGAAGTGAGGCTCTGGAAGGACTTGTCTTATAGCCTTATTCCTGCCCCTTTGTCTCTGGAGGAGTCCAGGGCTCAGCCCAGACCAGCTGTGACGGGGAGCAGGTTACTTCCCCTTCTGGTGCTTCAGGCACCGCATCTGTAGCCTGAGGGGGTTCCAGGGTAGTTATGAAAACTGGATGAGTTGGTCCACATCAGTCGTGTATGGCGCCTGGTGTATGGTGAACGCTCAGGCTGGGCTGCGTCAGTGTGAGTTTACCTTCAGCGTCAGCTTTGGGGGAGCTTTCTCCAGCTCCCTGTTGACCTTACTGCTGCAGGCTGCGGGCCACACCGCCCCCTGGAGGCTGCCTTCCAGGCCTGCCTTTGCCTGGGAAGAAGAAGCCGGGCTGCCCTTTAGTCACTTTCCTGGGGAGGATATGGGTGTGTGGGGAGCCTTTCTTTTCCGCAAGTGTAACTGCTTAGGGCAGCGGTTCTCAACCTGTGGGTCGCGACCCCTTTGGGGGTCGAACAACCATTTCACAGGGGTCGCCTAAGACCATCGGAAAACACATATATAATTACATATTGTTTTTGTGATTAATCACTATGCTTTAATTATGTTCAATTTGTAACAATGAAATTGGGGGTCACCACAACATGAGGAACTGTATTAAAGGGTTGCGGCATTAGGAAGGTTGAGAACCACTGGCTTACGGTCACTTTTATTCTATTTTTCCTAGAATCAGGAACAAGTGCCGTATCTTCCAGGTAGCCTTACCTGGGTGTGCCCTGGCCACCAGAAGCCTGCGTCCTTCCTCAGGGGGCTGATGTGGTTGACTTTTATAGCTATGATTATTGATGATGGGACACATTCCTTGTGCCGACAAGAGTGAGAGCTCGCTGTAGCCACTTCAGAGGGATGATCGAGAAGTGCCCCACTTTAAGAAAACCTGACCATATAAGGAGGAGATCTCAATTACAGAATAATGTCTCACTCGGCCAGAAATTCATGGCCGGTTTCCTAGTGCATTTAAAATAGGATTTGTGTGTAAAAATATCGTTTGCTCACAGGAGCCCATATTTTCTGAAAAGGGAAATATACTTGTATTGGGCATTTGGGATAAGTAGAATAAAAATAAAATCTTAAAAATATAAGAATTGGAAACCAAATTCCACTTTTAATTCTAAAAGGTTTATATATAACTCTACTATCTTACCCTCTCCATCTACCCAGACGTTCACAGCAGAAATAACACACAAGAGCTGCACACAGTTCAAGAGAGCATGTGGCTGGGTGGACTGCGGGGTCCCAGAGGCCGGCCGCATGCCACCCTCGCCACTCTGTGGTTCTTACTGCTGGGTCTCCTCCAGGTGTGGGCAGTGAGTGGCAGTTAGAAACGGGCTGCTCATCCTGCCACCACAGACTCCCGTCACCTCAGGGACACGTGCTGTCTGGCCGGTGGGGTCTGGGGGCAGCCTGGGGAGGAGGGCTGAGTCTGCGGTGCTGACATGTCTGACTCCTTCCCTTTCAGAAATGCTCCCACTGCCAGGAGGCAGGCGCCACCTTGGGCTGCTACAACAAAGGCTGCTCCTTCCGCTACCATTACCCGTGTGCCATTGACGCAGGTAAGATGGGCCTCCAGCGCGTCCGCAGGGTGGGGCGCACGCTTTCTCTGCCCTCTTTCCCTTTGTTGTCGTTCTTTGTCTTTTTTGACCCTGTTCTGTTAGTAAATTCTAAAGGAAATGCAGTGAGGAGAATAAAAAGGAGTGAAATGGGATAATTTTTTTAAAAAGCAGTTTTATTTGTATAATTCACCTAAGTGTGCAATTCAGTGGTTTTTAGTATATTCACAGATATGCAACCATCACCACAATTTTAGTACATTCGTCACCTCAAAAAGCAGCCCTGCATCCTTTAGCCAGCAACTCCCGCCCTGAGCAACGACTGATCTGCTTTCTGTCTCCATGGACGCACCTGTTCTGGACATTTCATATCAGTGGGATCAGACAGATATGTGGTCTTTGTGTCTGGCTTCTTTTATTTAGTATAATGTTTTTCAGGTTCACCCATGTTGTAGCATGTATCAGTACTTCATTTTTATTGCCAAATAATATTTTATTATAAGGAGATATATTTCTATTTACTTACCATTCATCATTTGATGCACATTTAGGTTGTTTCCACCTTTTTATTATTACAAATAATGCTGCTGTGAACATTCACATACAGGTCTCCGTGCAGACTTAATGTTTTGTTCTCTGGGGCGTAAACCTAGGAGTGGAATTACTGGATAAATAGTAACTCTATGTTTAACCTTTTGAGGACCTGCCAGACTGTTTTTCAAAATGGCCTCACCATTTTACATTCCCTCCAGCAGTATGTGAGGGTTCTAGTTTCTCCATGTCCTCATCAACACTTGTTAAATTTTTTTAAGAATAGTTTATTGATTTTGAGAGAGAGAGAGAGAAACATCAATGAGAGAGAAACATCAATCTTCTGCCTCCTGCATGCCCCCTACTGAGGATCAAGCCCAAAACTCAGGCATGTGCTCTGATCAGGAATTGAACCGGTGACCTCCTAGTGTACGGGACAATGCCCAACTGAGCCACCCCGACCAGGGCTTGTTTGTCTTCTTATTATGGCCATCCCAGTGAATTTGAAGCGGTAGCTCATTGTGATTTTGACTTGCATTTCCCTGGTGACTAATGATGTTAAGCGTCTTTGGTGAAGTCCAATTTATCTATTTTTTCTTTTGTTACTTGTTGCTTTTTCTTATATCTAAGAAACCATTGCATAATCCAGAATCAAAGATGTATGCCTATGTCTTGTCCTGCAAGTTTTATAAGCTTAGCCCTTACACGGGTCCTTGATCCAGCTTGAGTTAATTTGTATACATGGTATGAAGCAAGAGTCCAGTTCAGCTTTTTGCACATGGATTCCAGTTACCCCAGCATCATTTGTAGAAGAGACTAATCTTTCCTCATTCAGTGATCTTGGCACCTTGGTTGCAAACCAATTGACCAGCCTGGCTGGCATGGCTCAGTTGTTGAGTGTCGGCCTATGAACCAGGAAGTCACAGTTCCATTCCCGATCGGGGCACATGCCTGGGTTGTGGGCTTGATTTCCCCAGTGTGGGGCATGCAGGAGGAAGCCGATCAATGATTCTCTCTCATCATTAATATTCCTCTCTCTCTCTCTCTCTCTCTCTCTCTCTCCCTTTGTCTCTGAAATCAATACAAATATATTTAAAAAGAAACAAAGAAAGCCAGTTGATCATACAAATATGTGCTTATTTCTGGACTCCTCCAGTACACCCTGTCTTGATTACTGTAGCTTCGTAATACATTTTGAAAATGGGAAGTGTGAGCCCTCTAATTTTGTTCCTTTTATTTAAGATTGTTTTGGCTATTCTGGGTCCTTTGCTGTTCCATATGAATTTTAAGATCAACTTGTAGATTTCTGTAAAAAATAGCCATTGAAACTTTTATAGGACTTGCATTAATCTGCAGATCAATAAGGGAGTATTTCCATCTTAACAATAGTTTGTCTTCCAACCCATCATCATGGATGTCTTTCCATTTTATTTCAGTTTTTAATTTCTTCTAACGATGTGTTGTAGTTTTCAGAGTATGTTTTTCATTCTTAGGTTAAATTTATTCTTAAGTATTTTTTAAATTTTTGGTGGCATTGTAATTGGACTTTTAAATTTCAGATTTTTCATTGTGAGTATATAGAAATACAACTGATTTTGTTATATTGATCTTATATCCTGCATCTTTGCTCAGCTCATTGATTTAAAGTTTTTAGTTACATATCATCTGCAACAAGTTTTATTTCTTCCTTTCTAATCAGATGCCTCCTTTTCTTGCCTGATTGCCCTGCCTAGCACTTCTAGTGTAATGTTGGATACAAGTGGCAAAGCTGACGTCCTTGTGTTGTCTCTGACCCACTAACTAGTGTGGTAGCTGGGGGCTTTTATAGATGTTCTTGGGCAGCTAAGGAAGCTCCCTGTGTTCCTAGTTGTGGAGTGTTTACCATGAAAGGGTTCCAGGTCCACTGAGATGAGAGCAGTGTTGGCCGTGTGATGACTGAAGGAAGAAAAACCTTTTGTCCAAGAAGTGCCGTCCAGTGTCAACGCAGAAAGAAGGCTTGAGTTCTGAATCAGCGTCAGCAGTCTGGGGGAATCCTTTCTCCTCTAAACCCGTGTCTCCTCAGTGGGTGTTTTCACCAGTTACTTTGTGAGCATGAGCCCTTCACCTTCACCCAGCTGGCCCTCATCCAGTGCTTGCAGGTCAGGGAGGGAGAGAAAATGGAGAGACGAGCAGTGCAGCAAGCGGCTGGTGCCTGTTACCTCTCGAGTCTCCTGGGTTCTGAGGGGAACGTGGCTTCCATGGGAGCAGCTGTGTCTCTCAGAGGCGGGTCTGGTGTGGATTTGGCAGGGAGAGGGTGGAGGCGTGGCTGACTGGGTGACGGAGGCTGCGGCAGCTGCCCAAGGTCACCGTGTCTTGGGCATTTCTGGGTCTTTTGATGACTCGAGTCACAGTGTCCCAGAGGCCTGTGCCGCCCTGGGAGGCAGGTACTTGTGTTTGTCCCTCTGGGTCTGCAGGAATTCTCTTGTGTATGAAGGACTTTTGCATCCCAGAAAGGCAGTCACCAATTGACCTTCTTGCCAATTATAATGATAGTAAGTCCCATGTCTCATGGAGTGAGGAAACGTTGGCCATTTTCGCCTCTGCCTTGCTGCCCACCTCCCAACCCTTTCAGAGCTGCTGGTGTCTCGGGGAAACTTTGATTACTGGGGACATCTCTGTAGAAACAGCTCTGTGGCTCCTGCAGCTCCCACGCGCATGCACATTTGTGACATCATGGTTAGCTGTTTGGTGTGGTTTGTTATGTCACAGGCACCAGATTTGGCTCCAGGTGGGAAACGCAGTAATGAGAACATGAGTGCTGGTAATGCACTGAGCCACAACAATTAAGACCAAAGGGAAAGCGCTGTGCTGGCTCAGGAGCGATTCTGCTGTGCACAGAGAATCTTGCCTGGAGGGACTTCTCACCTCCGACCCTCACAGTTCACTCTCTGAGCCGCCTTCACTGCTCTCTGTTGCAGACTCAGACCTTGCAGGCAGGGTTCAGCCCTGGGTGGGTCATTAGAATGACTAGTGTCTGGTCCCTCCCTGGCTCCTGCCTGTTATTCCCCTCACTGAGGCAGTGTAGGCTGGCGGTCCCAGCCTGGATTCTGTCAAGATAAAGTGCTAACTGTGCCTCTGAGGTCAGTTGTAGATGAGCTGGAGACAGGGTGGGGCCTGGCAGATCAGAGCGTATTCATTAGACCTCGCTCCTTGAGCCCCCCATCCTCAGCCTGGGTTCTGTCCAGGTGCGTGTGGGTATCCACATGGCTTGTAGGAGGAGCGCCACAGTCCGCTCTGCATTTAAGCTCCAAGAGAGAGTGAGCTCACCCTTCTGGGCCGTTGAGATTTGTGTGTCTGGAAGCCAGCTGGTTGACCAGACAACCTTGTGAGTCTTTTCCAGCTCGAGTGATGCTCAGCAAGCCTCTCTGCTTCCCTGGAAGTGCTGACAGGCCCTCCGCCCAGTCAGTGTAGGACTTTGCCAGGGGCCTCAAGGAAACAAGTTGAGAGACCGGCTGGCCAGCCGCGGGGCCAGGCGCCTGTTCAGAGACCTCGGAAGAACTTTACTGCCCTTCTTACTGCCCTTGGCTCCTCCTTGAGCAGGGACGGGTCCCCGTGCCCTTCCGGGCGTCAGCTCTCCAGCAGGATCTTGACCTTCCTGGCGGCCGGCGGGTGTGAGGACAGACAGAGCAGAGCGTCTGTCCGCTGGCTTCCGGATTGGGAGGCCTTGCCAGAGGCGGACACTGCCTCTGACAGGTGTGTTAGGGGACTTCTGTTTCCACGGATCCCTGGTGTTGGCTCCAAGCTGCTTACTGTGTGCTTCTATTGTTTTATTTCTTTTCTACTTTTTAACTTAAAGGGAACATGTTTCCTAACTGTAGCCGTATTTTACTAATGGTCCGTGCCAGCTGTTCACGGCTGCAAGGGGAACGGAGGCACCTCATCCTTTCTGAAAGCCGCTGTGGCCTAAGGTGGCTGCCCCACGCGGGCTCGGCTGTTTCTCCTTGGCCAGCGCCCAGGTAAGGAGAGAGCCTCTGAGTGCCAGTCTACCCCTTGCTGCTCGGAAGCGCGCTCTCTGGCAGGTTGCGCAGCGGGAGCCTGGTCACGCCATGTACTTGTGGGTTCTGAATGAACGCACTTCATTTACTGCTTGCTCCGTGCTTGCGGGGGAGGGGCGCAGACTTACTGAGTTCTGGCCCCGGGGTTTGCCTCATAGATACACCAGGACTCAGAAAGCAGTAGGGATGGTGCAGGCCGAAGCCAAATTATGAAAGGGCCTTTTTTATTTGTGTAGAATAAGAGGACCTCAAATTTTTTCATTTATATGTTTCCTTGCTTTTTTACCTTTTACTTGCAATCTGTGGGTACTCAGGCTGCTAATCCGGACCTCCGTTTAAGCCTGAGTTAAATTGTAAATTTAACAAGGCTAAGTACCGTGGCTGCCTCCCGCCACGGTGCCTGGGAGCAATCTGAGACTGTGCGATCAATATTTATTAGCATTCTGCCACCACATCTTGCACCAGTGACCTGGCTGTCGGTCTCCGGGAGCTGGGTGTGCAGCGTGGACTCATTAATGAGATTTCCTCGCCCACGCCTCGCACTGCCCTGGCGCGGAGAGCTCTACTCACCTGCAGGCTGTCATCGGGGATGCTGTCACCGTGTTAGAAGTTGGAATGAATCATTTTCCTCCGAGGATTAATATCCCTCACGGGGTTTCTCACCTCTGAAGCGTTTAGCGTGGATTAGGCAGCTCGTGTGGGGGCTTTTCCCTGTCTCCGTGGGCTGTGGGGTGAAGGGGGCAGCGGCTCTCAGGCCTGGCCTCCTTCCTGTCTCGGACGTGAGGCTCGGCCGGGGAAACGGTGCTGTAGACGCAGTGTTTCCTCCCAGAGCCTTGGCTGGGCCCTGCGGGTGGGCTTAGCCTGGAATCGGGAGGGTTAAAAACAACATTTATTAGAGGTTGTTTCTGATTATTAAAACAATATAATATGATGGAAATACGGAAAAAATTAAATCGCTTATAATTTTACTTACCAAAAAAGTACCACTGTTATAATGCGGTAGATTTCCTTTGTCCTTTTGTAATGTATATAAATATTTTGATAAAATTAGGATTGTACTCACACATTTATATATCCTGGGTTTTCAAGCGATTTTACATCATGAGTATTTCTCATATACGTTAACTATTTTGACATGTTAATTTTTAAGTGATACTTCATGTTGAGGTACCATATTTACTTGGGGTGTCTCTAATGTTTTCCTATTGGAAATCGTAGCGTGGGGACCTCTTATCGCCACGTCCGACCCTGTCAGTCCGGCCTGTCAGTCACCTGTGCCACTCGCCAGCCCCAGTTGACTGTCCCCTCTGTCTTGCAGATTGTTTGCTACATGAGGAGAACTTCTCGGTGAGGTGCCCCAAGCACAAGGTGAGTCCCAGCCCCCAGTGCCCGCTCCTGGCAGGGTGGTGGGGCTCCTCCTGAAATGCCTGCAGACGTGGCAGGACGCAGCCTGCCTGCGCCTGGCCCTGGCGGACCTGCGGTGTGGGGTCGGTGCCGTGTGGAGAAGTGTGTTGGAGAGAATCTTGTTTGTTACAAGAAATTAGAAAATCAAACTCAATGAAACTACTGATTCCCACGTTAGTCTAGTGGAGCCCCAGTTCACAGGTCGCGTGAGGTGAGGTGGTTGCAGGCCTTGATACATAAGCAGAGGCGTTTTCCCAGCCAGGGAAACCGCTGCCTCCGGGATGTGGGGGACACTCAGCGTCTCCCAGGTTTTACTTCAGCAGAAGCAACCGGGGTCCGCAGTTGGCAGTTGCTGCTGCTCCCTGTTTCCCACTTGGCTCAAGAGGTGTCTCTGGGCCTTGGCTGGTGTGGCTCACTGGACAGAGCGTTGGCCTGCAGACTGAAGGGTCCCGGGTTCGATTCCAGTCAAGGGCACATACCTCGGTGGCAGCCTCCTGGCCCTGGTGGGGCATGCGGGAGGCAACCAGTCGATGTCTCTCTCTCACATCAGTGTTTCTCTGTCTCTCCCTCTCCCTTCCACTGTCTAAAATTCAATGGAAAAAGTATCCTTGGTGGGGTTTAAAAATAATAATTATAAAGTTTTGGTTTTTTTTTTTTAAAAAGAGGTATCTCCGGGTCCCCTCTTCTAGGACAAGATGGAAGACAGGACGCTGGTCTGTCTGAGAGGGCGCGCGTGCATGTGTGTGTGTGTGTGTGTGTGTGTGTGTGTGTGCGCGCGCGCGTAGAGGAGGTGAGGACAGGAGGCTAAGCCAGGGCAGCTTGAAGTGGGAGACACCACCTGGCAGCTTCTGCAGCGCCTGCCGCTCTCCTCTGGCCAAGCTCACACTGACCCCTGGTGGTCACCGGCCTTCAGTGTCCAAAGAGGGCCAGAAAGTACTAGAAAGAGGTTACCCTTGACAGGTCTGCCCTCAGAACGCTCCTGAAGGTGCCCACTGAGGCTTGTCTTTTGAATTATTTCCAGAGATGGACCGTAGGATCTACAGTAGTCTAGTTTTACTTAATCTACATGTTTTTGTTTTTAAACTTCCTTTTTTTAATGGGCACGTTTTGCCTCAGAACACCCTGCTGAGTGCTCCTGTTCGTCACTCAATACTGACTCTACTTTTTCTTTCCTTTCCATGTGCTGTTCCTTTCCTCCCTCTGCCACCCTGACCCCACGCTCCTCCCTGTCCCTCCTGCCTGTGACCTCGGCTTTGCCCGCGCCAGCCTCCCCTCCCATGCCCTCTCCCCGCCTTGCAGAACAAGACAGCGAAAGGCAGCCTCAGCACAGAGCAGTCGGAGCGGGGGTGAGGGGGGCATGTGTCGTGGGAATGGAAAGTACAGCAAGCACAGGTGAGTCGGGCGCCGCCCCTGCCACTCCCGGTGGGTGGCGGCCTCTGCCCTGCTCCTCGGCCAGGCTGCAGCACGGTGATCGGTGATCGGTGATCGGAAACTGCCAGCTCCAGGTGGAGAAAGTGTTTGCCATGTGCTGCTTAGGTGTTGGAGTGACTGTTCTGAAATCAGGCCTGGCGTGTGCTTCCGGGGGCAGAGGCAGCAGCCTCGGGTGGGACAGGTCAGCCTCGGGTGGGGGTGGGGCAGGTCAGCCTCGGGTGGGGCAGGTCAGCCTCTGGTGGGGCAGGTCAGCCTCGGGTGGGGCAGGTCAGCCTCGGGTGGGGCAGGTCAGCCTCGGGTGGGGGTGGGGCAGGACAGCCTCGGGTGGGGGTGGGGCAGGTCAGCCTCGGGTGGGGCAGGACAGCCTCGGGTGGGGCGAGGCCCTCCTCCTGGCTCAGCAAAGCTTCTAGCCAGACGTCATTATCTGTGAAGCTTACGGTGGGTTTTCCTTTGGAAAACAAAAAATTCCCCAAGTTTTGTTATTTGAAGTCTTTTTCCTGGTACTATGAAGGACTGATTTTTACAAAGGGAAGGAAAATCCCCTCAAAGATTTAGTAGACTTCAGCATTGATGTAGTTTTACCCTGGAAATCTCAGGAGGTTGGGTTGTGCTCTGTGAGCGTGTCTGCGGGCTGTGGTCAGGGCTGGCGGCCGAGTCTGCGAGCAGATCACCAGGCTCGCGGTCCTGGAAGCGGCAGGTCCCCGGGGCGGGAGGAACAGACGGGAAAGAGAAGAAGGGAAACCACAACATCACTGGGGCACTCGCCAGGCAGGACGGGGTGAGGCCGTTGTCTGAGACGTTCCTAGCGGGACTCCTCTCCCAAAAGGGGAGGCCCTGTCTTTACTCCGGGGTCTGAGACCCGAGCAGGGGTGCTGGGCTGGCCCCTTGGGGTGGTCCCTTCGCTGCTTACAGCGGCTCTGCCTTCGTCTGGACCACCTAACAGTGACCTGGGGAAACGGACTTCAGTGCGGAGTGTGGCGGGCTCATGCCCCGGGGGGCGGGGGCGGACAGGACAGGAAGCTGTCGAGCGAGTGGACCCGTGGTCGTCATCAGTAGCGGCCACTGGCCACCGTCCTTTCCCGCTGGGCAGCCCTCGGCTCTTCCAGGAGTTTCTGTCGGCCCTTCGAGTCCCTGCGCTTGATGGGGTCGCTGTGCCTGGGCGGCTCTGCCACCATCCCGTGCTCCCCTCCAGCCAGGCAGGCAGCGCCGCCTTCGCTCGGGACCACGGTGGCCGTTCCTGGGGGGGCCCTGGGAGACCGGCTGCATTTGCCGTTTGGGCCGATTGTTTTAGCCGTGGGATCCCACTTCGTGTGTAAGAAAAAGGGGAAGTCGGGGTGCTGGCCTCTTCTTGGGAGTTGTTCTGTTCACCATGTCTTTCCACTCCATCTACTCCTGGCCCTGCCAGCTGACAACCCGCCCCACCGGAGGGGCGGGGGGCGGGGGGGAGGGGCGGCAGGAGCCTGGTTCATCCCTGAGGTTGGCACCACTGTGCCTGTCTGCACAAAAGAAACCAGCGGCCCCTCAGCGCGGCCCTTTCCAGTCTGTGGAGGTTAAATGGCCTCTCCGAGGGAAAGGATGGACATACTGCGTCCTTCCAGTCCACCTAAGACGTTTATCTTCATCTACTGTCCCCACGAGGCAGGACCCTGTCCTGGTGTCTGAGGTCTCAGTCACCCTCCTCCAGGCCTGGGGTGCCCGCTGTCACCCTGTGCGGATTGTGCGGGAGCCACACCCTGAGGCGCGTTCATCTGGGGCCCGCGCTGGCTATCCGGCCGGGCAGAGGGCCAGTGGGTGTGCATGTGGGCCCGCTGCCTGCTGCTTCAGTTTCTTCCATAAAGAGAACCGCCTTTGGGGGGTTCCGGTAAGAAATAAAACGCGCCCAGCACAGCCTGCGTGCGGCGAGGCCTCGGCATGGGCGGGGCCAAGGCTGCAGTTGGGGCTCTGCCTGCACTACCCCGTCCATCAAAATCCCGGGTCTGGGGGTGCAAGTCCTAGTCCCCCACCACTCCCCACAGCATGTGTGTGACCTGCCACTTGTCCCTTGCCAGGCCAGCCATGCCAGAGAGGAAGCATCCTTGGGCAGCCGTCCAGTGGCCACCTCCTGCCCATTTCTTAATGTGTGGTGCGCTTCTGGCAGCAAGGCCCCTGTCCCTATCTTCCATCTTGTCATGTAGTAAACAAGGAGGCCCCCTCCGCCCCCCAGCCAGGCCCCATCCGGTGGTTGGGAAGCAGGAACTCCATCACCACTGCTTTGTCCTGGGTGCGAGGGGGTGCCCCCTGCACACGCAGCCTCTGTGGTTGGCATGTCACACAGCCCGTGTGTGAGCGTGGATCCCGACCTAGAGTCCGCTTCCTTGGGCCGGCCCAGCGAGTCCTGGGATTCCATTTCCAGAGGAGAGCCCGACTGTCCACCCCCACCCACCCTGCTTCCCGCACAGACCCGCCCACAGGAGCCACGCGCCTTTAGCCCACGCCCTCCCTTCTGCCCTTCTCGCTGCAGAGGCCTCGTCACACCTAGACTCCCACCCCCTCCGCCCGCTCCTCCGGGGCTGCGCCTCCTGTTAGTTCCCGGCCAGGAGGGCTCTGCCTCCGACCTCATTGACCGGCTCCCACTGGGCCTCCCTTCTCTGTCTCCACCTCCTCCCTCTCTGCAGCCATCAGCATCACTCATCTCCACTAGTCCTGGCCGTGAGGAGGGGACCGGTCTGTGTTTGCCTGGAGCGGGCATGTGAGGGCGTCGTGGTTAAAGGAGGCGTGCCCCCCAGAGAAGGTGTTCACTCACCTGACTGTACCCCCTGTTGGTACAGATGCAGAATGAGATCCCTCCCCCGCCCGGCTGGGCCTGCAGGTCTGTGTGAGCAGAGAGTGCCCGGCCAGGCTGGGTGCAGGGCACAGAGCTGAGGCTGAGGGCGGGGCCGAGGGTGGGCGAAGGCTTGGCCCAAGGAGAAGTCTTTGCCAGACATCGAGGTGCCTTTTTTGTTGTTGTCTTTATTGTTTTTTCCCCCGAGATGCCTTTTTAGAGAGAACATGGCAGACCCTCCGTGCAGGCTGCAGCTGCCGGGCGTCTGCTCCCGGCTCTGTAGGTCTGTGCAGTTAGGCAGCACCGTTCCCACAGCAATTATACCCGCAGCCCTGTGTGGCTTTGGCCACGTGTGTGACCTCTCAGCCTCACCAAGTTGCAGGGTCAGGCCTCTGTGTTACCTTGAAATAGCATCTGTAAAGCCACTGGCAGAGTGCCTGGCACACAGTAGGTGCTTCAAGAATTTTCTTCCTGTGCTCCCTGTCCGATGAGTGTTTTAGAAGTGAGAAGTTAGGGTCCGTTCCCTTCGGGGTACCATGTACTTGGGCCAGTCTCACCTTGAAGCCTGGGGAACAGCCCTGTTGGGAGGCTGGAGTGAGGGCAAGATCGGGTGGAAGCACAGCCTGCCTGCCGAGCGCTGGGGGCAGACCCTGCCCCGTGCCCCGCCGCAAGCAGAGCCTCGCAGGGTGTGCATGGCATCTGCTCTCTTCACACCCCCGATCCTGCATCCCCTGCAAGACTTGCCCCTCTGGTCATTGTTGGAGGTCCCCAGCACACCCTTGTCATCGCATCTATGAAGGACATTTGGTTCCTCTCCCCTCGGCGGCAGCCCCAGCCTCCGGAAAGCCCGAGTGTGGCCAGAGGAGTCTTTCTGGCTGGCGCGACCTCTGGGGAAGTCACACTGTCACCATAGACACCCTGAGAGCGGCCGGTGGCTCCGCCACTGCCTGTGTCCTCGGGGCTGGAGGCCAGGGTTTACATGGGGACAGTGCCCTGCTGTCGGCAGTGCCTTCCTGTTACCTGTGCTCTGCTGGGAATCTCTCTGGCAAGAGCAGGGATGTGCGTGCTTTAAATAGAACATCTTAGCTGGTGCACACAGCCAGCTGTACGTTTGGCATATTAGTAAGTTTTATGGAAACTAAGGGCTGTGACGCCTGGCTTTCGCTTGTGGGAGGCGGAGAGAGGAGCCTGCTCCCTAGAGTGCTGTGCTGCGAGGCTGCGCCACGCTGGCTTCTGGGCCAATCTCTCTGGACTGTGTCTCTAGGACCTTTGCACACGGAGTGGGGGGCGGGGGCAAAGGGGGGAGCAACCCTACATACCCCTCGAGGGTCACCGGGGCCTTCCTGAGCCTGGAGCTGGGCTGGAAGAGGAAGGGCCAGCAGCAGGATGTGGGGAGCTGGGCGGGCCCCCAGGGACAGGGCTCTCCAATGCAGAGCTGACTGGCCGGCGCTGTGAGTCAGGGGCCGCGAACCAGCTCTCCCGCAGGCTGGCGGGGGCTCGGCCATCTCTGTGAGGACCATGCCTGCCACCGGGTGCTAAGCCGCAGGCCCCAGGTGGAGGACTCCCGAGCAAGGGTCACCTGGAGGGCAGCCCCCACCTGGAGGTCGGGAGTTCTCTCCTGGTCTGTTTCTTCCGTGCCCTGGGCAGGCGGGCACTCCGTGAGGGGCCCTCAGTGTAGTCTCCACAGCCGAGGGTCATTGCTGCCTTCAGGGGTGTCCCGGCCCAGAGCCACTGGTGGCTCCACCCCTGGTTTTGGATGTCTCCCAGGTCAGCAGCTCCTTCACCGGGCCTGTGGCTGCTGGGCCCCGTGGAGGTTCCCACACCCACTGTCTGCTCTGTCTTCCAGGTGAGACTGTGGAGATGAGGAGGAGACACTCGTGATGGATGGAAATGGTCCTACTGTGCAGCCACACCCCGCCCCGCCCCGCTGTGCCCACCCGCCTGCCAGCACCTCCTCCCAAGTCCTTACATCACACTCAACCGTGACACCACAGGAAAGAAAGACCCAAGAAGTCAGAATGGCTGTTTCCATGGACACAATCTCCATAGTGACAATGCGGGGGGAGGGGGGAGGGGTGGGGAAACGGGGAAGGGTGGGGGGAACTAAAAGGGAGGGATAAAATATATATATATAAATCTATTTTTAGTCTGGAAAGACTTTGTTTAAATGAAAGGTGCGCTGTCCCTTTTGATTCTATTTTAAAATTATCTAGCTAAAGAATTCCAAATTGGTTCCAATAACAACGAAATTTAAATGTGAAATTGAACTCAGCAAACTCTCATCTCATAGAGGACGGGGTGTGGCTCTGCTGGTCAGCCTGTCTCCCGCCAACTCAGATCTCTAGACCCAGAATTGAAAGCCGGCGAACACACCCAAACCACCCTTTGTCATTAATTTGTCTCAAAGTGGGGAGGTTGGGGGAGGGGAGTGGGGCGGTCCATGTTTTCAAGAGTGGGAGAATGATGTTTAAACACGAAAATAAATTTTTTTCATTTCCAGAAACACTATTTATTTATTTTTAAAATTTTTATCTTTTTGGGGGTGAAATTGGTAGATGCCCGAGGTCACAGCTGTGTGCTGCGTCACGTGGCCGGTGGGAGCCCCGAGTGCCACACTGGGTGCAGTAGGGCCATGCCCAGCGGGTGCCGCCCACAGGACTGAAGTCTACGAGGCGCTGGCGAGGCGCTGGCGGGCTGTCTGAGCGTGGGGGGCAAGCTGAGCAGGACACCCCTTTAGCCCTTTATTCTTTTTGCTTTTGTTTTTATAAAAGAAAGGGGGCCTGTCAGTGAGCAGCCCCACGCTACGTGGTTCTTTGTGTTGTATTGTTTTGTTTTGTAAAGTGTATAATTTTTAAATATCTGAGTTTTAAAAAAAAGAGAAAAAGTACAAAAAAATTCTTGTTAAGGCCTTAAGAAGGGGTTAGTGCATCTTTCAGGGGTCACTCTGCCGTGGGGATAAAATAGCTGTTTCACAAACAGTTTTATTTAAAAAAAATCAAAAAAATAATAAACTTCATTTTAACCTTGTTTCCTTTTTTATTGATTGTAAAACAAATGCGTCTCTTTCTGCTCCCGCTCCAGGCCCCAGAGGTGGCTTTGGTTCTGCTGCAGGGGAGACAGGTCTGCCTGGTCCAGCCACTCAGTGGGGGGAGCCCAGCCCGTGTGTGGGGACGGTCAGATTTACTTAAGCTGATATGAGAACATATTTCCAATCAACATTAATTTTAAAGGTTATAAAAAAATAATGCAATGTTAATGGACTTTTTTAGAGAACAGAAACTCTGGAAGGAATGTTGTGAAGTAGAAATAAGCAATTATAAATGAGTTCTTTGTGCTCATCAATTTGGGGCTGCAGAAATGGCAGATTAATTTCGTTTTAATGGCTACATCAAGCAGTGTGGTCCATTTCTCATTTCACTGCGCCGGGACGGAGGCGTGGGTGGTGTTCTGCATGGGCCTAGGACCTGCATAGCAATGATGGCTTTTTGAGCTACTTGGCTTCCCATCTGGTCTCAACTTGGCATTAACACAGTTCAAATGAAATTGATAGATTTCAAGTGTCAAGGACTACACAAAACTTGAAAAATATGCATCTTGAGGAAAATACTTTTCTGACAGCAAATGATTCTTCGTCACTTTGCCTTTTATTCTCCGGCCCCCTTTGACTTGCTGGCGATGCGTGAGCGAGGTCCTGTGACCGTCCGGGTCTTTCCTCTGAAATGCTGGTGACGGGAGTGGCATGTCCCACACACCCTCCTGCCCCAACAGCTCCAGCTGCCCATGTGCATCTCAGTTCCCCCCACATTTGAGTTCTGTGCATTTTATTTAATATATTTCACTGTTTAAAGCAGTTTTAGGTTCATAGCAATATTGAGCAAAGGTACAGAAAGTTCTCATATACCCCCCGACCCACCACCCACAGCTGCCCGCTACCAGCTCCCCAGCCCCAGGGTACACTTGTTAGGTCAGTGAGCCTGCTCCAACACAGTCCCCCCGGTCCCACAGGGAGCGTCCTGTGGTTTGGACACATGCATGACGTGTCCGTCAGAGCACACGCAGTAGCTTCGCTGCCCTAAACAAAAACCCTCTGTGCTCCCGTTCATCCCTACTCCTGCCAGGCAGTCTCCAGAGTTGCATTTTCCAGAATGTCCTGTAGGTGGAATCACAGTGTGTGGCCTTTGCAGGTGGCTCCCTTCACTTAAGGATGACATGCATTTTAAGGGTCCTCCATGTATTGGTGGCTTGACAGCTCATTTTATTTTATTGGCTTGAGAGAGAGAGAGAAACACCTATTCCACTTATTTATGCATTCATGTGCCCTGGCGGGATCAAACCCAAAACTGAGGCTCTAACCAGCCGAACCACCTGGCCAGGGCCGATAGCTCAGTTCAAAATTTTAGTACTGAATGCTGTTCCGTAGTCTGGCGGCATCGCCGTGTGTCCATTCGCTCAATGCAGGACACCTGGGTTGCTTCCAAGTTTGGGCAATTAGGAATAAAACCGCTATAAATATCCATGTTTTTGCTCGGACATGAGCTTCGATCCTTTGGGTCAGTACCAAAAAGTGTGATTGCTGGATCATATGGTAAAAGAATGTTTTTTAAGTTGTGGCTTAAAATAAAATTTATCATCTCAACCAGTAAGTGTGCAGCTCGGCAGTGCTAATACATTCACATGGTTGTGCACTCCCGCCAAGCGGAAGCCGGTGCCGGTCCAGCAGCTGGGAGGCCGGCCCTGCCAGCTCCGCCCCGGCCGCGGGCTCCTGCGTCCTCCGTCCTCCGGCTGCGGCTGCGTCGGTCAGTCCGCCGGCCTGCAGCCGCCCCGCCGGGTCTCAGCCGGGTCTCAGCGCGGAGGCCGCTGCCAGCAGGTGAGCCGGCCGGCCGGGCGCGGCGCCCACGAGCTGGATGAGCTGGACGCAGGTCCTGCCCAGGAAGGGGAGGAAGGGGAGGAAGGGGCGGGGGGGGGGGGGGGGCCGCAAAACGCCTCCAGCTCGGCTCTCCCGAGGCCCGCGCTCTCTCCGGTCCGCCATCCCTCTGACGTCACGCTGGCCTCAGCCTCAGGTCGCCGTGTCCAGCAGGCCCGGTGCATGTCCAGCAGGCCCGGTGCATGCGACCACCTGTGACACGCGCGTCCCAGGGGGCGGGCCTCACTCCCGGGAGGGGCGGGGAGCGTGTTTCTAAGGGAATAAACGGGCCGCTGGCCCTTAGAGAAGTTCAGGCCAAACCGTGCGCAGCAGTAGCTCGGAGCATGGGTTTGCGATGGACCGAAGGCTGCTCGGTAGCTGTGGCCCGTGATTCCTGAGACCCTTCTGTGCCTTGGGGACCATGGAGCCGCCTGCCTTAGGGGCTGTGGGGGGAGCGCCAGTGCCCGACCAAGAAGCTGCGTTGCACAATGATGGCGAGGGCCATGTAGCCACAGGGCTCCTCTGGCTGCCTGTGCTGCACAGCAGGCCCCTTCGGGGAGCGCAGGCCTGGCCCTCACTGCCCTTCACACCTGCCCGGAGGACTGCTCGGGGAGCAGGGCATCCAAACAAAGGCTACGAGAAGGGAAGGGGCATTGCCTGATACGGCTTGGCCCTCACCCTTCCCAGGGGTGTGCGAGGAAAGCTCTCACTCTGGAAATGGCTGGGGTACCCAGGTCTCAAAGGGGCTCTCCCCAGCTGAAGCAGGGCTGGAGGAAGTCCCCCCCCCCATCTCCCCCCACCCCTTCTCTCCCTCACTGGCAAGGATGAAACAATCCAAGCCCTGGCCAAGGAGAGATGCAGGGTGGCCCAATTGGGGACCAGCAAGCTACACACGCAGCAGCCAGTCAGCAGGGGCCAGTGTGGGAGGTGGGGAAGGGGCAGAACAGTGTTCACACTCCAGGCCGGGCGCCAGGCGGGATTGGCAAACATTGAAAGCCAACACCAAGAGGCCACAGCGCTCTGAGCCAGAGGCACCCTGCGAAGAACTGGTGCTCTTACTGCTGGGAAGTCAGGGAGAGAAGGAGTGGGGGGAGAAGAGGGAGGCTTCCTCCAGCCCTGCTTCAGCTGGGGAGAGCCCCTTTGAGACCCGGGCACTCCAGCCATTTCCAGAGTGAGAGCTTGCCTCACACACCCCTGGGAAGGGTGAGAGCCAACCCGTATCAGGCAATGCCCCTTCCCGGCCTCTGGCCTCCTGGGTCTTCGAATTTGAGTGGGGTTGACCTCAAAGTTCCCACCAGTTTCACTGATTTGAAAACTGAATCCCACCTCTCTCACTGTTGAAGAAGGAGGGTGCTGAGGCCAGCAGGCACCCTCTTCTTAGAAGGGGCAGAGAGGCTGAGCAAGAGGGAGGGCCAGGTAGCCACCGTCCCCGCCTGGAGATGGTATGCACTGGCAGGAGATGGTACGGAGGTTTGCATGGTTCCGTGAGGGGCCACAGAGCCTGAGGGGACCAGGCCCAGGGAGAGGGAGGGCCCCGCACAGGGAGCAGCCTGGCCAGGAACTGCATCACCCCCCTTGGTTTCCACCCCTTGTCTCCCAGCAAGAGTCTGAGCAGCTGATGGTCAAGGACAAACGATAATGAGGAGGAAGCAGGCCCCCTCCCCTGGGGACAGTCACATCCTAGGCCAAGCCCACCGCAGCTCAGTCGACAAGGGAAGTGCCCCCCCCGCACCCCCCCCCCCTCAGACTGGAGCCAGGAGGGAAGGAGATGTGTTAGTGAGCGGCCAGCAGAGCTAGGAGGCCCAGGGACCAATTAGTAACAAACAGGAAGGGGTCCTCGGGCAACAAATGGGCTTGTCGGGGTGACCAGGGAGCTCTTTGTCTCCCCTCCCCACCCCAGGTTCAAGCTCACCACAGCCAGCACCCAGCGGAACCCAAGGGAGCTGGGCCAGCAGCCAGCCAGGTGAGAGCCTCAGCAGGCCTGTGAGCAGCCTCAAGGCGGGGGCCGTGTCCAGGCAGCCTCCGGCCCCGGGAGAAGGAGGGGACGTGCGTGTAAGCCGTGTGTGGTGTTTGGGAGTGTAAATGTGTGTGCATGTGGCTGTGTCAGACTGTGAGCACGCGGGCAGTGTCTGCGAACGGGTTTTGTGTGTGACTCTGTGTTG